TGATTCCATACTCCAACAGCTAAAGAAATACTGTGTGGAAGGATGGCCAGATAAGTTCTCCATTGAAAAAAATTTCCAACCTTACATGTCATTCTTTTTGAGGAGAACACATCACCAGACCATCAGGTTTTGTTGCTACCGCGTGTTTTGAGTTTGAGCTCCGTCAAGTCATTTTTTTTTTTCTTAAAATCAATTTTATACACCATAATTTCCGTTTCTATAACGTGTGAATATATCCCCTATCGTATTCTACAACAAAAACATTCAGAGCGCCTTGTTATCACTAGTTTTTTTTTTTTTTTTTTCCCGAGTCTGCTATTAGCTTATAGCCCATTAGCATCGCCAGCGTGGTTGCCGCTAATCTTGCTTACATTGCTAATACTCTATTCACACACATTACCATTGTTTTACTCACTGTTACTTGCATTAATGGCGGATGTGTGTCTACCTTTGAGTGCAGGTGAGGACACATTCGAGCTGCATTCGGTGACATCCCAGGCTGACACTCACAAGACCGGGGTAAGTATACAACGCGCTGCTAACACTCCCACTACCTCTACTCCGTGTGTTTCTCTTCACAGGCCCTGTGCACCCAGGACGCGATCTTCCCAGATGTCCTTCACTCCGGCGCTGGGACGCCACGGACCCTGGGTGTACCCGCAGCGGAAGATGCGAGCCAGGCCCTGGGCGATGACCTCTCCCCCTCCGCCGCCTCCTGTCTTCGAGATCTCCACCCGGAACCGCTTCGCTCCCCTCCGCGAGACGGAACACCCCGCTGTGATCGTCGGAGACTCCATTCGTCTGGCACGTCCGTGCCCGCAGCGGAAGACGCGAGCCAGGCACCGGGCGACGACCTCTCCCCCTCCGCCGCCTCCGGTCTTCGAGATCTCCTCCCGGAACCGCTTCGCTCCCCTCCGCGAGACGGAACACCACGCTGTGATCGTCGGAGACTCCATTCGTCTGGCACGTCCGTGCTACGTTAGCTGAAGGTAAAGTGCACATACACTGTTTCCCTAGTGCTCGTGTTCTCGATGTTTCTGCGCAGATACCCGCGATCCTGAAGGGAGACGAGAGCATCGGAGCAGTCATGCTGCATGCAGGGGTTAATGACACCAAGCTGCGGCAGACGGAGACACTGAAGAGGGACTTCAGGAGCCTGATCCAGACGGTGCGCAGCACATCTCCCGCGACGACGATCATCGTGTCAGGACCGCTTCCCACGTATCAACGAGGACACAAAAGGTTCAGTAGACTTTTTGCTTTAAATTAATGGTTATTGTCATGGTGTAAAGAACAGAAACTGCTCTTTGTTAATAACTGGAATCTTTTCTGGGAGCGTCCTAGGCTTTTTCGCGCTGATGGCCTGCACCCCAGCAGAGTTGGAACAGAATTCCTGTCGGACAACATCTCCAGGACGCTACGCTCCATATGACTAGTAAGTCAATTCTCAAATAACTGCTACTTGCACTGTCCAATCTATAAAGACTGTGTCTGTTGCCCGAAAAGTGAGGTCAAAATATAAATTTAATGCAGGATCTAGAAAAAATCTGATTGTGATTAAACCAGAAAAATGCAAAATAAATGAACAAAAACAATTTTTAAAGTTTGGGCTCCTAAATATTAAAGCAGAAAGCATATGCCTCATTGTGTCACTGACTTTAAACCACAAGTTCTGCATTCAAGTTTAGATTCTGCCTTTGGCCATTCTAGCAGCATAACTCATGAGGAAGAAGGTGAAGAAGAAGAAGAAAGCATTTCGCCATTGAAGGCAGGAAGTGAAATGTTGCCCGATTTTATTGAAAAAAAAAAAGGCTCTGTGCTGCTTAAGTTGGAAAGCCTGTTTCATGTATCAGGCAAGTGCATTGACCAGTTGGTGGAAGACTTGCACTTCATTTCAACAGAAGGGTCAGCTGAAGCATTTAGATGTGTTGTTGAACAAACACTGAAGAAACATGACTGTGTTCTTGACTCAGTGATCACAGATTTGGTAAAGGAACTTTGTGAATCAAGTCCATTATGCAAGTCACTTGGATTGGATGGTCCCTTTAGATCCTCATATAAGAGGAAAGAGTATTATAAAGAGAACTTCCAAATTGTGGAAGCTGTTGAATATGTTGTTGATGCAAAGGAAAAACGGAGTTTTCAGTATTTGCCCATTCTCAAAGTGTTGTCCCACTTAATGAATGGCACGGACATTTCTCAAATGGCACTTGAAAGATCTCTAAACAGGATGTCCCAACATTCAGATCTTTTCACGATGGGCTATATTTTCAGCAAAACACTTTTCTTTCCGAAGGAGAAGAGAAAATTTCACTGATTTTATACATTGACGAATTTGAGATTTGCAATCCACTCGGAACATCCCGGAAAAAAACATAAAATTACAGCAGTGTATTGGGTGCTAGGAAATGTACCATCGGTCCTTCGTTCGGAGTTGTCTTCCATTTATTTGGCAGTTCTGTGCAAAACAGAAGATGTAAAATGGCATGGATATTCAGTTGTGCTTGAACCCCTTTTGAAGGATCTAGGAGTATTGGAGAGAGAAGGATTTTTTATTTCTAGCCTCGGAAAGAATGTCAGAGGAACAGTGATGTGCGTTGTTGCTGACAATTTAGCAGCCCATTCACTTGGTGGGATTGTTGAAAATTTTTCTGGCCCATATCCCTGCAGGTTTTGCCTTGGCCAGCGTTCAGATTATCAGCTGAAAGAAGTACGTTTAGGTGCATTTCAAAGAAGGACAAATGAGCAACATACTCTACATGTTCAAACAGCATTAGAGGATACAAGTGTTGTCCATTCATTTGGTGTCAAAAGGCAATGCATCATAACTGACAAACTGGATTATTTCCATGTGTTATCGGGATATCCACCTGATCTCTTACATGATGTTTTTGAAGGGATCGTTCCAGTAGAACTGGCTTTATGCTTGGATGACTTCATCAAAAAGAAGTACTTGACAGTGAGTGAAATAAATGCTGCAATCCAGGATTTCCCATTTAAATGTGCCGACAAAACCAACTGTCCAAAGCCATTGCCTCTGACTTTTGGAACTTGAAAGAGTATCGGCGGAAATGCCCATGAAAACTGGGCCTTGCTCAGGTTTCTTCCATTTCTCATAGGCCCAAAAATTCCAGAGGATGAACCTGCATGGTTAATTCTTATGGACCTTAAAGGGTTAGTTCACCCAAATATTTAAATTAGCCCATAAATTACTCACCCTGAAGTCATCCTAGGTGTATATGACTTTCTTCTTTCAGACGAATCCAGTCGGAGTTATATAAAAAATTGTCTTTGATCTTTCAAGCTCTATCGTTGTACTCAGCTGACTTGAGGGTGAGTAATTTATGGGCTAATTTAAATTTTTGGGTGAACTAACCCTTTAAAGAAATTGTGGAACTGATATTTTCACCAGTGCATTCTCAAGAGTCCATTGGCTACCTTGACAGCAAAATATCTGAGCAGACACAGATTTTTGAGTGTATTTCCACAGCAGAAGTTGCTCCCTAAGCATAATTTCTTGGAGCACTATGTAGCGAATCAGCTCACGGGGAAATATGAATAATTAATCATAATGAATTAATTAGTAGAAAAGTCAATTTCTACTGTGCCTTGTGCCTCTTGCGATGGAACATGCAGTGATTTTCCCTGCTTCGCATTCCATTAGGTCGTAAATGTATCTGGTGTCAGGGTTACCATGGTAACCAGGGTCCTGGGCCCTGTTCACAGACAACTTGGCACCCAGTATGTTTATTGGGTGAGGGGTCTGTGAACGTTTGTTAATCTAATGAATAATTGATTTGTTAAATCTAATGAAAAATTGTGTTTTTGATTGGTCCAGACGCTACAACTATCAGGAACTGATACAGGCTTTTGGTCCTCTGGTGGCAATGTGGACCATGCGCTTTGAGGCGAAGCACAGTTTTTTCAAACATGTTGTGCAACACACCCATTCTTTCAGAAACATCTTGCTTTCGCTTGCAGTGAAACACCAGTTGTTGATGGCTTTTCACTTTCGTTATTCAGAGAACTTTAAACCATCACTTTCTGTTTCACATGTGTCCAATGTCAGTTTGGATTTGCTACATAATGATGTACAGGAAGCAGTTTACAAAAAATTCCCACATGAAAAATCAATAGTGTTGGCAAACACAGTATCTTGTTACGGAACAAAATACTGTAAAGGAATGATTCTGGCTCATGGTTCCACTGCAGGACTTCCTGACTTTGTTCAGATACACCAGCTGATGGTTGTAAATAACTCTGTAGGATTTATAGTGAAAACACGTACAGCCTGGTACAATGAGCACTTGAGGTCTTTTGAACTAGATGCACCTGGCCATGTTAAAGTACTTCTCCAAGAAGACTTGAGTGATGTTGTACCTCTAGCTGCATACACTGTCAAGGGAAAGTGTATGGTGACTTTGAAGCGCTTCATAATGTAATCATAATGGGTAATTATTAATTGAATATTTTACAGTAAAGAGACTAGATCACCCTAAATGAAAATTGTCATTTACTTGTATGAATAAAAAATTTAATTAGTGTCTGTGTACTGATACAGCATGAAATTAAGTTATTATTAAGAAATTAATAATTAAGTTTAGAAAAACATGAGATTTAGTAAATTATGAAAATGTTCTTTTATGGGTGAACTGTCCCTTTAATTGATAAAATGTCTGTCTAACAGTTTCTTTTTCAAATAGGACATGTGTGAACCAGCAGTATTACGGGTGATTGTTGATCAGAACTCCATTCGCAAACTTCACCTGTCCTCTGGAATTCCAGATACGTGTGTGAAACTGGAGTCAATAGTTAGAGAGACATTTCAGATACAAGAGAGCTTTACTCTACATTACAAAGACACTGATTTTGAGGAGTTCTTTTCTCTGACTTCAACATCTGAGCTTAAAGCTAAAGACACTATTAAAGTAGTGCAAACTGAGCCAGTGATAATAAATGTAACAACAATTGTCAGTTTTGAGTGTGCTGGCTCTTCTACCATGGATGACCAGGTTTCCTCAGATGATCTTTCAATTGCTTATTCGGCTCCATCATCATTTGTCTCATCAGATAACACAGTATTGCTCTCATTTCCAGACAGTCAAGGACAAAGATCAAAGCCATGGCCATCACCGTTTGAAATTCCAGAGTTTGCCTATGACACTGAGCTAGTTCTGAAGTCTGCAAATGATGCATACAAAGACGATGGAACTGCTCTGAACAATCCAAGTGTGAAGTCTGATATTCTGGAAAAATTGGCAGAACATTTTTTCCAATTTTGTGCATATCCAACCAGCCAGCAAATTTCCTCAGTTGCAGAGGCATTAATCCAAAAGCATCCTTGCTTAAAGGAGCCTGGGTCATTCTCTGGATTCTACGGATGGCAAACAAGATTGAAGTACAAGATGGGAAACTATCGGTCAAAATTGAGAAGTCTAGGTTGCCCAGAAGTAGCTGTGAACTCGGCTAAAAATAAAAGACCTGCTGCTGTAAAAAAAAACAAAGAAAGCAGAAATAAACTACCTCCCTCCACATCCTTCAGGAGTAACTATACAGAGTCTAGAACAAGAACGGGTGGAGCTTCTTGAAGAGGCCAAGATAAGGGATAACTAGAGAAATATCAATGAAAAAATGGACAGGACTTTCTCCTACCGTCGTCCGGAGATAGTTGAGAAGAGTCCTTCAATAGCGAGTATCCTGGAAAGATGGCCTGTTTTGTTTGACACCTCTCAGGTATCTTTATTTATATTTCCTTGTAGTAATTGTGCTCTAAATTTGTCAGATTTTTGAGTAATGTACTGTTGTCTTTTTAGGTCAAAGAAGAATTCAGGAGGTTAAAGGGGTCATATGATGCGATTTCAATTTTTCAGAGTAGACTACAATGCTGGCTGTTCTGACTCAAAGACTGTAAGTACGTTTTTTATATTTAAAGAGTTTTTATATTTTATATATTTAAAGTGAGTTTTTTGGGCAGTGTAGAGTAGGGCTTGTTGTTTGTCATTTCTACGATCACAAATGCAGACATGGTTTTATGTTTACGCGGCACGATGCAACGCAACGCGTAAAAAGACAGTATAAGTCATTATAATCCATAATTATGTCCCCACTGGACATAATTAGGTCTTATACTTAGTTACAATTCAGGGCATGAACAAATTTGTGACACAGCAACAGTATATAAGTTATCCTTTGACTGTAATGACTACTCAAAATCTGTGACGCATATCACCAGCTATCTTTTCTGGTGATGGTCTCTGAAGCAATCTGAATCTCCCTCTTATTTTGTGGGCAAGTTTGTAGGTTAGTTCATCCAAAAATGAAAATGTCAAATGTGTCATAAATTACTCGCCCTTGTGTCATTCCAAACCCGTAAGACTTTCGTTCATGTTTGGAATGCCAATAAAGTCTCTTTGATGAAATCCTAGAGCTTTCGGTCCTTCCATAGAAGGTCTACACAAATGCAACATTGATGCTTCAAAATATTCATAAGCAGAAGCTCAACCGAACATGAATTATGCGCAAGAACAAACCTTTTGCTGAAGCTCAAACGTGCTGTGTAACCAATGAGGTATATTTTCGTGTTACGCAGCACGTTTGAGCTTCCACAAGAGGTTTGTTCTCACGGTAGTAAAAGACAATATTAAATTAAATTAATCCATGTGACTCCAGTGGTTACATAGTCACATGGATTACTTAAATGTCTTCATTAATGTTCTAGAACTTAATTGCTAGTGTAGGCTGCCTATGGAAAAATAGAAAGCTCTTTGATTTCATTAAAATATCTTCATTTGTGTTTTAAAGATGAACAAAGGTCTTACAGGTGTGGAACGACATGAAGGTGAGTAATTAATGACAGAAGTTTCATGCTTAATGTAAATGTCAACATATTGTGAAGTGTGATGCGTGTTGTGAAACTAAAGGAAGAGGTGACAGTCCTAAGTGCTTCCACATTACTTCTCACGTGAGCTTCAGAAGACACTTGTCATGCTTCATAATATTCTGATGAATAAATGAAGGCAATGTTGAACTAATGTATGACATTCAGCCCAAAATATAGTATATTTAGTTAAACAAGATTAAAATACTACTTTTTTTTTTTTTTTTAACAGGCCTATTGTTTTCCTTCAGAAGACCTTGATTCATTAACTGGGGTCACATGGCTTATCATGTCTGTGTTGCATGGGGTTTTTTCTTTCTAAAAAACTGTTTATCTAAAGAAAGTCATTCATCAGGCACAGTGTGAGGGTGAGTAAATTATGAAAACATTTGGGGTGGAATATGTATATCTTACAGCATATGAAATAAATGCTAAATTAGGTTCTTATCAAGTGTCTGACTTGGCCATTCTCCAATTAGCTTTAAAAAAAACTCTTGTCACTTTAGCAATTTTAGAACATTGTTGTGGTGTATAGCAGCAGAACCTGTGAAAATTTTTGTTATCTTTCATATTTAATTTAGCTTCCAACTTCTTTTGCCATCAGCAGTTTCACCGTCATTAAAGATGAGTTGGTCCTACAGTAGAGCTTTATCTTGACGGAAAACGCCTCGGTTACGTATGTAACCTTGATTCCCTGAATAGGGAACGAGATGCTGCGATGACGTCATCGCTTTGGGAACACCTCCAGTGTGACGAATGTCTGAAGCCCTTATACCATCACGCCAGTTTATTGGCCAATAGCGCTTAGCACCGCTCCCCAAGCATACGTCACGTATGCTCATATATGCATTTCATCAGATTTTAATTCCTTCAGGAAGCGAATCGTCTGTTGCCCGTCGGAAAGAGATTATTGTGTTCTAAGCCATCTATTTTTATAGAGCAGTTTACTCCTCTAAGGCGGACACAATTAGTTTTCTGGTATGTATGGATGCATGTTACACAGACTCACAATGAAACAGGTAGGAAGACCGCTTTGCGGCCTTTATCTATTGTTGTATCCGTGATATCTGTGTTTGTGAGTAAAAGTTGCACTCTGGGCTGCTCTCTTTCTGGGGTAGGAGAGATGTTCGTTCAACCCCCATTGTTCCAGTTCTGCGGTTGCTGAGGCGCCGCACGAGCTTGACGCTTGGGGTGACGGCGATGAGCCCGAGTGTACAGAAAGTGAGAGAACGGAATTAATCCCCTTCTCTCTGGCTCTCTCCCCCAGACCGCGTGCGTTCATCAGAAGAGCATGCAGCAGATGTTTGTTGTGCACTATGATTTGGCGCTTCGAGCTACCAAGCATTAGTTGCTCGACTACTCATCTCAGCTCCATTGCTGCGTCGAGCTGAAACAAGTGGAAGAGCTCATGTGTTTCAGAGTATTCTTATAGCAAGCTATAAGAGTGAGCTGGCGGTTTTCCCCCCCTCTCTCTCTAACGTTACCTGCTGCGCGCCTGAGTTTAGTATCCATTCCTGTTTCAGAGGTTTTTCCCACAACTCAGGTGTCTCTGGGCCTCATGAGGGAGGATCAGGCTGTCGTATGGTTACACCATCCAGCTTATATGGGTTGATTGGATTTGCGTCACCTAACCTTGTGCCTGGAGTAAGCAATTTCAAGATGCTGATGCAGAAGTTCATCCTGTCTCTATCTGAACCCGAGATTGGTTGTGACCATCGATCTAGGATGCGTACTTCTGCATCCAGATCGTCAAGAGACACAGGAGGTTCCTCAGGTTTGCTTTTGGAATAAAGCTTACCAATACTGTATTCTTTCATTACCTTGACGATTGGCTGATATTAGCTCAATCACACAAACTGTTTGGAGCAGCGTTTTCTGGCACTCCAACGGTTCTTACCCAATTGAGTGGTTGTCACATTAGGTCAAGGACTGACAACACGGCTGTGGTCTCATACATGGATTGTCAGAGAGGATTACGCTCTCGACCCCTGTGCAGGTTGGTGAGATATGTTCTTCTTTGGACACAGACCAGGTTCCTGTCGATCAGAGCAGTTCATGTCCTGGGTCACTTGAACTCAGGAGTGGACTTACTCTTGAGACCGAGTTTGGAGGCTGGAGAATGGAGATTGCACCCTCAGGTGGTGAGTCTCATATGGCAGAGGTTTGGCCGAGTGGAAGTGGATTTGTTTGCTAAAAAATAAAATAAAATAGAGCATGCGCATTGCCCGCTCTGGTTTCCTTGTCTCCTCTGTCGCCTCTGGGTGTGGATGCTCTAGCCCAAGAATGGCCAGGACCAGTCTTTTGCTCCCAAACGATTCTGTTCAGTGTAAGGTTGGTCAGAGTGAACGTCTGTTGTTGGTGGTGCCGTTTTGGCCCTCTCATACGTGGTTAAAACTCAGAATTGGTCAGTCTGTTAGCCGGCCCCCTTGGGAGGTTCCCCTCAGACACGACCTGCTGACTCAGGTTCGGGGCATGATTTGGGCATCCCCTGAGCAGAGTTGAAATGTGTTCCGGTCTCTTGGCAGAGATTACCGACACTATTCTTAAATCTAGAGCTCCCTCCACAAGACGCTGTATGCCCTTAAGTGGACACAATCTGCTGGTTTCCCGTTTCATGCAGGGACGAGACGGCTTAGGCCTTTCCGTCCAGCACAGATTCCTTTTTGGGACTTATTTTCGATTGGAAGGCCTGACAGGCCATCCATTTGAGCCGTTTAAGTCTGTCAGATAACTTTGAAACCTTAAGCAGTTTTTTGGTAATCCTATCCTCTCTTAGAGGACTGAGGATCTGCAGGCTCTGTCAGCTCCTCTTGTATGGACTTTGCCCCTAGGCTGGTTAAGTCTTACCGCTTCCTAGGCCTAGTTAATCCTAAGGCTGCTTTGACTCCGCTTTGCTTTCAGCAAGTGGTTGGAGGCTTTCTCCCCTGCTATGTGGGGTCACATAGTGACTATACCTCTAGCCTATGAGGCGCGTGGTGTGACTTTTCGTCTCTAGAGGTGTGTGCTCATTCTACGAAAGCAATGGCTTCTTCTCAGGCTCTTTTTAAAGGGCATTTGATGGGAGATGTCTGTGCTGTGGCAGGTTAGTCCTCTCCTAGCACCTTCATCAAGTTCTATAGTCTAGACGTGAGGATGGCTCCTGGCTCCCGGGTCTTATCCGCTTGAGCAGACGCTTTCCTTGGTCTCCAGCTATCTAAGGTACGTCAGGCGTTATGGTATAGCGTTCCCAAAGCGATGACGTCATCGCAGCATTGAAGTTACCTATGAGAGGGAACATCTCGGTTACATATGTAACCCTAGTTCCCTGAATAAACGAGATGCTGCGATGAGGGCCGTCTATACCTTGCTAGCACTTTCTTCGTCATAGTGTAAAATCTGATGAAATGATCATCTGATGAAAATATATGAGCATACGTGACGTATGCTTGGGGCGGTGCTAAGCGCTATTCGCCAATAAATTGGCGTGATGGTATAAGGGCTTCAGACATTCGTCACGACCGCCATTTAAACATGTACAAAGTGAACGGCAGTACTTACGTTTCATCGCCTATAGTTCTGGTCAGCTCGGACTATTCCAAGAAACACCAGCACACATTTCAAGGTAAGGGTCCACTCTTCAAAATGCATCCCACTTTCTAATCCAAAACAACGAAAAAATAGGGGAAAAAACAAAAGATCCTCCTTTGTTTACATGAGCAATTCAAGTTATAGTTGTCGATAGCGTCCATTTTCAAAGAAATATCGATTCCAGCTTTGAAACGGCATTTGTTTCATATAGAATAGTCTCTTCCGAGCAAGATGAGCCCTCCCCGTCTCTCTCTTCTTCTGCTTGTACGATTTTATGGCGGTTGACAAGCCAACTCCCGTCTCTCTCCTTCAATCACAGGCGATGCTATAACCCAGAACAGAGAGGGAGTCGCTGACAGACTTAGCGAGGTGCCAATCTCCGCACTGTTTGAAGCCAGCCAATGCCTAGCCAGCAAAGTTTTGATGGATGGAAGTGTTAGCCAACCACAAGGACGTTTACAGTGATTGACAGTTTGCATAGTTGACGTAAGCAGGTTTGAAGAATACCCGTGCACAAAGTTAGTGTGTGTTCATGCGCTCTCTTCTTTACGCACGCTGCTTACACACAGAACGGCGTCGCGGCGCTACACGGAGTATTTATCCGCGAGCGGATTTTCTCCGAAGCTTACATCTGAATCTCTCTTACAATGTTCAAATGTTGTTCTGAAATAGTTTTGTGTTTGTGTGTGCTTTCATGGGTAGATGAGTTCTGAATTGATATACATATAGCCTATGTAGTATATGTAGTATGCAGTGCCATATGGAGTCTCTAAATAGCCTTTTTGAAAGGATTCCTAGACTTTTTTTGAAATAAAAGATCTAAATGACTTTTCGTAAGCTTTTCTTTAAATAAAATACCATAAAGATGTACTTTATGCAAGTTTTTACCTAAAAATTTTTTTATTTCTGCTTTTATTTCAGGAAAAGTTTAGGCGTCCTTTCAAAAATGCCATTTGGAGACCTGGTAACCAAATGACCAAATGAGTCAACACTACAAATGCTGTTCAGAAATAGTTTTTTCCTTGTGTGTTATGGTGGGCAGAGCAGTTCTGAATTGATATACATATATGCATTATGTAGTTTTGCCTCATTTGGTTACCAGGTGTCCATTTGGAGTCTCCAAATGGCTTTTTTGAAAGGACGCCTAGACTTTTTTTAAAAATAAAAGCTTACAGAAACTACATTTTTGGGAGTGTCATCTTCAAATTTGAATAAAAATATGGTCAGACATTCAGCTTTATCTTTATGGTGTTTTCAGGCCTTTGGCATCAAAGCCTCATCCATTTTTCCCTTAGTGAATTTCATTCAAAGATATCGTGAGTCACTTTCATGTACATTTTACCTTGTTTTACTCTGTTGCTATACTAATTTTGAGTTATTATGACTCCAGAGTAACAGGTTCAAGTGTCTAGTTTCAAACAATACCAGATTTATAAATATAGACCATAGGGTTCAAGAGCTACAGACATTTTTATTTGGGTATGTCGTTTTTCAGAAAATGCTCAAAAATAGGGGCGCACGTTAAGTGGATAAATAATAAATGAATGAATTAATTCCAATTACAACTGAAGTCAGTTCAAAACAAAATCAACCGAGTGTTGCCTAATGTGTAGATATTTAGAATTCTGCAGACAGGTTTAGGAGAGTTATATTTAAGAAATTAAGGCATTTTAATGCAACTCCAAGTGAAATTTAAGGCCACTTTCACAGTAACACAATAGCTACATTCCAAGTGTTTGTAAGGTTTAAAAACTAGTTACTTATTATTACATGAGGCATCTAAAATAATCTACCAGCCACCAAGAAATCTTACCAGACAATTTAATAAAGCAAGTATATCAAATATTTTGTATGCTTATGTGACAAATAGTTTCAAATATAATAGTTCCAATATATTCTCCACAAGACAAAATAATAACTGAATTTATAAAAATTACCCCATTCAAAAGTTTACATACCCTTGAATCTTAGTAAACTTTCTGAATTGGATAATCAGGGTAAATTGTACGTACTTTGGCTTCTGGGAAACATGCAAGTAATTATGTAGCTTTTGTAGTACTAAATGAAAAAAAAAGATTACAAAAAAATTACACATCCTATTCAAAGTTTACACCCTGCTGCTCATCCCAATAATTCAGCAAATTATTTTTAGATTTTACATGGATGAGGATGATGAAGTTGTAACAGTCACCAACATCAAATGTCACATAACTTAAATGAAGGGACCTTAAGCGTTCTATTCACCCTTACTGTCAAGTTAGTCTGCGGGTGGTATGCAGTGGTGAGTTTTTGAATTGCACCCCATTGTCTGCAGGTAGCATTCAAAAGTTGAGATGTAAACTGCGGTCCCTGGTCTGACACCAAATAAGTAGGTACCCCCCATCGAGTAAAGATCTCCTTGATAAGAATGTTAGTTATCAAAGGCGTTTTAGCTGACCGCAAAGGGAAGACCTCAACCCACTTGCTACAGTAATCCACGGTGACCAACAAATACTCGTTCAGCTTCATGCTCCTCGGAAACGGACCCATAAGATCAACGCCAACCATGTATCCAGGTTATTTCACAGGAGTAGATTGAAGGGTTCCAGAAAGTTTGGATATGCGCGGCTTATATTGCTGACAAACTTGGCACCGTTTGCAGTAATCCCATACATCGTGTTGAATTTCTGGCCAATACACCACGTTGAACAATCGACGTAATGTTTTCATGCGCCCAAGATGCCCACTCAAAGGATTATCCTGGGCAAACTGGAGAAATTGCTGCCGTAGATCTTTTGGGATGACTACCTGCAAAGTATGGCCCTTTTGACCATCTGGAATAGATCTAAACAGAAAGTTGTTTTGATCAACATAGTGGATCCGTTGGGGGTCGATAGGGTTGAGCTTCGCTTCATCCCACAAAAGCTGCAATGATTGGTCACTTTTCTGGCTTCGACCAAGTTCTTCCCAGTTAATTGGTAAATCTCCATTCACATCTTTTGCTTGGCATACTGCAACACAACTGAGTGTCTCTTCTCCAGGCATTGCACGGGACAGTGAATCAGGCACTACATTACATCTCCCTCTCCGATAACTCACAGTAAAGTCAAACCCCTGGAGTCTAATAGCCCACCTAGTAAGTCTTGATGTTGGGCGAGGATGATTAAAAACCCAAGTGAGAGCGGCATGATCTGTAATTAACACAAAAGGTCTGCCTTCCAGGTACTGTCGCCATTTCTCAACCG